TCGCAATAAAGCTCTGATAAGAACACTTGTGCTTTTTCGGATAGGCTCTATTTGGGCAGCAAACCCCTGCGGAGTGTCCACATATGCCTTTTTGCACATCAGATGTAGTGCAAAAAGGAGTTATGCCTTGTAGAAAGAGGTTTACATACACCACAAAAAGCCCTCTGTTCTGCTATTTGTTGATTTACGTGCACAAAAGCGCACTTGAGGTGTGGACACTTCATGGAGTTTTGCGCAAAAACCTTGTAGTATAGACCTATAATATGATCATTATTACTACTGTGATTTTATATGGAAGGCTATCTACAGTTTCTGAAGGAAAAAGTATGAATAGCCTTGTTTATTTTATTGTCAATTATTTCATCTCTCTTAATCCCACAATATATTCAGAAATTGCTTTTTTTAAATCTGGGAATGTTGTTGATACAAACTCACTTCCAAGACTTAATACTGAGATCTCTGAACAGCCTGACACCATGATAATTACACCCAAATTCCACCATTTTATTGCTTTCAGAGGTCATTTGTTGATCTCGTCACGTTTTTAAAGGACAGGTGTCCATCTCCCAAATGATGCCACAGGCCTTTTTTTCCTTCTTCCCAGCAGAGAGGCCAAGGGTTGAATAGTAATGGAGATTAAGCTATTCCCTCACCCCTAGAGCTGGATCCTCTGAGTCACTAATTTTGTCAGTCTCTCTGGCTCATTAATAGGATAAAATGATTCAGGAGAATATAAGGCCTGTGGGTAATGAAACAAATACACTACACACAAAAGAGGGGGAAAAACCATAACATTCATTGACTTTGTTTATTCATTAATATTGTTCACAGCCCTTACCTTCAACATGTCTCTCCTAAAACAGAAAGAACAAATGTAAGATAGAAAAATAAAAAACAGCAATTTGTTTCCTCCCAATCCCAGGTTCCAATAAATGAGGAAGGCAACATATTTTACTTCAGGCAGAGTCATTACTTTTCAATAGGAACCTCCAGACAGCTGAAATTGTAGCAACTTCTCCCCATTGTGCAAAAACAAATTGCATTAAAATGATAGGTGAACTGCCAAGAGCTCATGCTATGTCTAATAAGGTTATTGTGCTGGCGATATCTGACGCTTTACTGTAAATGTTCCTTTCACATTCCAGTTTCCAAAGGTTATTTGTCAATTACAAAGAAATGGCCTGATTTTCAAAAGTTTTTAGCTCCCACAAATCCCACTGATGTCACTTACTCTGTCAGGCATGCAGTACTGTCAAAACTCAGATATGAGTTCCCGAAAAAAAAAAAACTTTTCTGATGGTGCAATTCTGCCTGGTCCTCCTAATCACTTGGCCTATGGAAATCTTTTGAAAGCCTCTGACTTGGTGTCTTCAATCATGATTGTACACAGTTCCAAGCAGAGTCAGGCTGAACTAGTAAGTTTACTCTTCCACAGAATTCTGACATCACTCATCTAGTGGGAAAACATAGAAGCTGTGAGTGTGTGTGGGATCACCTTTAGTCTCTACCAACCCACAAAAATGTTAATTATAGATAACCCCTACTGGGTTGCAGAGTTCACCTTGATGAATTTGTGGCTCAAAGGTCTTGTATCCTGCAAGAATCCACACTGCACATCAACTCTGCACAAAACATAGCCTGCAGAAGGTTCCTGTCAGTCATTCATACCCTGCATGTTCAGATTACGTCAAACAATATGACCACAACACACTGTATCAACAAACAGGGTGGAGTGAGAGTCATCCTCCTTGGCCCAGAAGCCATCAGTGTCTGGAACTGGTATATCTGACATCAGATCACTGTAGCAGTGTGCCATCCAGGAGTGCTGAACACCATGACAGACATACTCTACAGAGATGACAAGTGAGAACTCCATGACTTTCTTTTTGACAATGGGGATTCCCTTTTTGGGCCCTCTTTCTAAGCCAAGAGGTCAAGAAATGCTTGGCCTATTGTTCTGGAGCGTCTTAAGGGCACAATTCCAAAGAGGACACAATCCTAGTACTGAGGTCAGAATTATTGATGTATACCTCCCCACCCATTTCCTTCTGACCTCGAGGCCTGAGGAAAACAAGCAGGACAAACTGTCAGTAATCCTGGTGGCTGAAGCAATTTAGGTTCACCAGCACGGTCCAATTGGTCTTAGAGAGGTCATGTTCAGAGGCAATATAATCCATCCTTAATTACAAACATGATTCTGGAATGCATTAACAGGAGTGTTGTGAGCAAGACACAAG